AGAGTAACCGTATGTGCACACGATAACTCGAGTAAAAATTGAGATATCTTAACAAAACTTGGTATGTATACTTCTTTTGAGCGTGGGACGGATGGTGTTGAAAATGGGCAAAATCGGACAATAACCACGCCTACCTCCCATATAACAGTAGTTTTCAGAAATACGAAAACTGCGGTATTTTAGTAACTACTGAAGCTTACTCACTCAAAATTGATATGTACAATCAGTTTTAAACGAAAAATAAGAATATATATTTTTGGAAAATGGGCGTAGGTACGCCCACTTATGATTATATGTGTATATCTTGGGAACCGCTCCACCAATTTCTCCCAAACTTAGCACAGTTGTTGGCCTTCACAAAACATACCAAACGGCTGAAAATTTAAAAAAATCGGATAATAACCACGCCCACATCCCACATAACGGTAATTTAGAGAAATACGAAAGCTTCGATAAATCAGTAAATACTGAAGCTAATTTATTTAAAATTGATGTTTGCAATAATTCTTTAGCAAAAAGTAAGCTTATAATAAAATGTTGGAAAATGGGCGTGACCCCGTCCACTTAAGACCACATACGTGTATCTCGGTAACCGTTCGATCAATGTGTACCAAACTCGGTATGATTATTGTGGTTGCCCCATAAAGGCAAAACGTTGAAAGTTATTGAAATCTGACTAAAATTACGACCACCTTTTTATAACGCTAATTTTACCCAATATTGATACTAACAACAATCCCTTGAAAAGAAGTAACATTATTATGGAATTTTGGAAAATGGGCGTGATGCCGCCCACATATATCCATATAAATTCATCTCATTATGTCTAACTGCACGTTCTATCGAAGATGTTTGAAATAGACGTAAAACCACTACTGCTTACCATGTAGCGGTAGTTTTCGGAAAGGTGAAAAAAACTATATTGAATACTTGCGCCGGGTATTTAAAACTTAGACGTTTTTACTTGTTAAGAAATAATTTAGGTGAGTAAATTAGGTGATTTAGTTAAATAAAAAATGGAAAAATTAGTAATTTTTAATACTTTTTTTTTTAGTACTTGAGTTTAAAAATTTGAAGACTGTATTCAATAAAAAGTTTTTAAAGGGTCGTAAATCAAACCTGCGCCACTAAATAACCACTCGCTCGTTGCGAAAAACTTGAAACTTGACAAAATTATAAATTCTTTTCGATTGACGCTGCACCAGTCGATAGGACTTTCAGTTATATTTTTTTTTTTTTATTGCGGTACAATAATTCTTTTTTGGGAATGCATCGGTCTGCAAATGTCGTATGTATCCTCCTGACTTTCATCTTCACAATCTAGTATCATGGCAAGGTCGTTGTTTAAACACCGTTTTTTTTCCAAAGAATTCTTCATTCTCATTCTTTGCGTTGTTTCTGAATGTGGAGAACCAGTAAAGTCAACAGCGTTTTTCGATCATAGTTTTTGTAATTCATTTTTGATCATTTCTTCTGTGGCTGGCCAGATATACGTTTTATCATTGCACTTGCATAATATTCCAGGGACCGAAAATAACAGTTATTTTTTTACCAGTTAAACTTGGCCTAATATTTTTTATTCCGAAAGTTTTTTTCTGGATAATAAACAAACAGCTTACCAAATTAAACAAATTTGGTATCATGTGAAAGAGGACTGAAATAGCTTTTAAACAGAAATAATATATTTTTTTTATATGATTTAATACTAAAGATATTCATATACCTTGGGGGTTTGTTCTATGGTAATTAATTATCATTTTTTATTGAAATATTTTTCAATAGGTGACTTTGCTTGTTTAGACATTTCAGTTTTAAAGCTATTCAAGTCCTCTTTCATTTGATACCAAACTTGTTTAATTTGGATAAGCGGTTTGTTTATTGCCCGGAAAGGACTTTTAGTTGGGAATAAAAAATATTTGGCTAAGTTTAACTCGTAAAGAAAATAACTGTTACTTTCGGTCCCTTCAATATTCGCATTCGCAAAAGATCCGCATTGATTATTACGAATGCGAATGCGGAAGCTCCGCGGTTACGAATGCGAATGCGAATATTCGCAACAACCCTGGTACAGATCTATCTATTTTTTATTGAATTTGGTAACTTTTTCTGGTGTTTTTGGTAAAAGAGAAAAAAAATCTTGTGGTAGCACTGATATGTATGTGTGTATATTGGTCATAACTAGACAAATGTGGATTTGGAAGTGCTCCGAAATTTTAATAATAATATAATAGATTGGCGCTTACACATATGTTAGTGCTTGGCCGAGCCTCTCCTCCGACTTGTGGCGTGCGCCCTGATGTTGTCACACAAAGCGGAGGGACCTACAGTTTTACGCCGACTCCGAACGGGCCCTAAATTTTAGTTTAGTTTAAAATAAGTTTGGCAATTTTTTGTTGAATTTGCTAAAAAATAAACAAAATTGTGGCAACACTGAACAAATGTAAGTAAAATATAGCCATCTAAAAGTCTACACTACGTTGCTTATGCATTTCACAGGTTTTCGTTCATTTTCTGACAGTCAGTTACGGCAGCTTATTCATTTTATAGTCAGCCCTTAACCCTCTCCCCTACAAAATCCTCTGCGACCTTGTTCACCACCTGGACGAAGGAGGTCAGACCACCGCTGGGAATTCACGTCGATGATACACCAATTCCGATGGTGAGTAACCCCAAAATACTCGGAGTAACCTTCGATAGTCTGCTCTCCCTCTCTGTGCACGCAACCGCGCGTCCTCAAGTCGCTAGCCGGCAGTACTTAGGGCAAAGACAAAGAAACGTTGCTGGCAACATACAAGGCAATAGGCCGGCCGGTTTTAAATTACGCAGCACCAGTGTGGTCGCCGGGGACTAGTAGGCCACAATGGATGAATATGCAGACTACACAAGTCACCGCACCACGGACAGCGATTAGATGCCTCCTGGTGTCGCCAGAACACCACCTGCACAACGAGGCGAAAATGCTCCCGATAAAGGAGCACAACACAATGTTCTGCAAGCAATTCCTAGTAGGGAGCCACAGACGTGGACACCCAAACAGACACTTGCTTGCAGTAGAGCCCTCCAGAGGTTCATAAAGCAACCTCTGGACCCGTCAGCTTGCCGACAGGCCCTGAGCGGCATTCACAGGGAGTCAGTCTCGAGTTATGTAGACTCCTGACCTGTGAATGATGTTCTAGGCACACAAACACCTGACATCGACGAGACTGAGCTTCGTCTGCCTCGGGAGACTAGAACCATAATAGCCCAACGTTCTGGCTACTGCAGCAGGTTAAACTCAAACCTGAGCAGATTACATGCAGATGTGTCAAACGAGTGTCCGGCATGCGGAGAGACACCCCACGACTCGATAATTCATGTAGATATCTTAATATTTCTTTCAATATTTCGTATAAACTGCCAAATTTCCTGCAAATACCTTAAAAATTATAAAAGGAACTTCACTACTAAGTGCCTACTTTGCGTACTTTTCTACTACCATTTTCGCAACAAAATTTTTAATTGAATGTTATATGAGCAGGTGCTATTATTCATAATATACAAAATTCACAAGATATTTGGTTAAGCAAGGATAAAGAGAACTCATCATTTGAAGGTTCGAATATTCCACCGACTAGCGCAGCGGGTTTACGGGATGTACATAGCTCAGTGGCTAACGCTTCTGACTTTGAACATCGAATTCGCACCTATACAAAAAAAACCTATAAAAAAAAGGAAAAGTTAATTAGCAACAAGAGTTTACGGGATGTACATAGCTCAGTGGTTAACGCTTTTGACTTTGAACATCGAATTCGCAGGTTCCATCCCTGCTGAAGTCTAGAAAAAAGAAGTCTGATGAAGAGATGTGGTGATCTCCGAAATAGCTGCTATAACTTCTACCGCTTAGACTTTGTTGCTTTTTCAATTTTTCCTAATAAACAATCGCGGTACAAAGCTCAATAGAAATATTAAAAATAAAATGTTAATAAGCCACAATAACATTGACAAACACGTAGTTTAGGAAGAGCCTGCCTGAACCTATACAAAAAAAAAAAGCAAAATAAGCAAATGGATGTATAGAATTGACAACAACCACGCTGTCGAGTTTAAATAGCGGCAAATCAGCTGCACTTGATAGTAATTGGTTGAATAAGGAAAAATGAATTAGCAACAAGAGTTTACGGGATGTACATAGCTCAGTGGTTAACGCTTCTGACTTTGAACATCGAATTCGCAGGTTCGATCCCTGCTGAATGTACCAAGCAGAAAATAAATTGCCAAATTAATCACCAGTGGCAACTGTGCAAGTGATCAGCTGTTTCGAAGATTGCAAGTTCTTGCAAATTTTGCGTTCTCGTACTTCTGTTGCTATTTCGTCTCTTTGAGAGCGAATGCTGCTAAATTCTCAGACCTTTGGCTGCTGGAGAATTTTGTCCTCTCAATACGAGTACACACCTCTTATCACTTTTTCGGCACTTGCAATACAAATACAAAAGTTCTACATAGTTAATTAATAAGACATATTCTTTTGAACACATTTCAAGAGTGGTTGTATATTTTTGGTTTACGTTGTGCTTAATTTGCTATATTCAAAGATGGCTTCAGAAATTGGTGAATCGTGAAGAAAACACGTTTTCTCAAATTCATCACTGTCAACTCATTGTTCTTCGCCATATTCTTTGTTTACCCATTGCCACAAATGTCATTCTGCGGGAATGCGCAATCTTGTATTCTATCGTTCTTGGACTGTAGAAAGTTACCAATTGTGGCAACCATGCTCGTGGTCGGGCAACACGCTTTGTGCTCTCGTTCGTCTGAGTAATTCTAGTTGGCCGTTCACAGCTGACAACAATTGTGTACAAAAGAATTGCTCTGTGTGAACGCGAAGGGCAACACCAAAAGAGAAATTGCCGAAAATGACTAACAACAGTTTCTCTGTGTGAACCCAGTCTTATGGAACTGTACGATGGTGAATACTTCGCGTTGCGCATAGCAAGGGCTGACGTGAACTGTTGGTAAACAAACGCAGCTGATCCAAACAAAACAAAACAAAAAGACTCCGAAATTTGCCGGCAGCTGATTTCTGCAAAAGAATTTTACAGAGCTCAAGCCATCAATGCGCGTATGGAAATGTCAAACATTTGTTCTGCAAATACAAAAACAAATGCAACATGTGTACTTGAATTTGACAGCCAAACGATTTTTGACGACACTGCTGCGAGTTCGTCGGCTGTGTATTTGGTCTATACTGTGGTATTTGGTCAATTTTGGCTGGTTGAAGTTTGTGTGAAAGTGAGATTTTATTTATTCGTGGAAAATTTGTATACATATAAGTTGGATAAAAAGATTTAGAAAATTATATAATGGCCTCTGAAAATGTCTGCGAAACCTACAAAATGTTTTTGAGTACCTAAAAGTGATATTTGTAATCGCTAATGATAAAAAATCAATAGCTACAACTATGTATGTACATGGTGCAATGTGGAGAATTAAAAGAAAAGTGCAAATAGTTTTCCCTTTAAAATTGTCGAAATGACGACGTTATATGTTCATACATACATTTAAAAAAGTGATAGTTAACCAAATCTATCAAAATATTGACAAACCTGCGTGCACAAAACCCACTGCATTTATATTAACAAATTAATCAACCATACATACATACTTATAATGTACCAACATTCATCGCAGTGACGTCGCATTTCGTTCAGCCTACCTTTCGCATGCAAATGCTATTCACAAGTACATTACATATGTAACTACACAGAAAATTCTTAGAGCCTTGCATAGTATAGTAAATCGCTTCAGCTTACCAAGGATAACATAAAAGCACATTCGGTAGATGCATCATGTCCTACACGGAACTGGAATCAGGTTACCAGGACTTGCGACAATCATCGCAGCACGCACAGTCACAAATGCAATCCTTCACAAGCGAGCGCAGCAGCCGACCTGGATTTTTTGTTGGCAGTGATGGCAATGTAATGAGTCTTATCCTATATATGTAAATGCTAATATTTAGATTGGAACGATTTTGTGTTATATGTATATACATATGTATGTATGTATACTATAAGCATACCTTTGTTTTTATAAATTTCCATAATATGTATATGTAGGTCATATACACCGCGATCTCTGACGTGGTCTATGGTGCGTTAAAAAGCGTACGTAACCGGGGGTGTAAATACAGATGCCTGTTGTATTAAAAATCAATAGTATCTACTTTCTTATGTTTAACGTTAACCATACGTTTACAATACATATGTATGTATTCAATAGTGTAATGACTCGGGGGGAAAAACCAAAACTCGAGAAAAAACGGTTTTAAAGTTTTGAATTAACATAACGTTACCTTAATTCACAAAGTCCCTAACCATCAATTTTCGTAACTGTGTTTTTCACACGGTAAAAATAACCGTAGATCCATGGTAAAAATTACCGTAGATCTACGGTAAAATTACGTGGATAATGTGTTGCCGGAGAAGTGGGGCAGAATATAGGCATTATAACCCTTACTACTCAGAATTCTCCTTTCTGTGTTGCCGGAGAAGTGGGACAGAACTTCCTTCGGCGTAATTTTTAGCGTGGCGCGTGTAAGTAGACACTTCCATTAAAATACACCTTTGGGAGGGAAACGCAACAACAAGCACATGGAAGAAAAGTTCTGAAATAAAACGAGGAATCTGCTTTTAGGGCCTTTGTGAATTAAAGTAACGATACATCCCAGGAAACATTTGGAGTCATAAATGAGTCTTTAAGGAGTCCTATTTCGGAGCCATTACGCTCACAATGAGCTCATTTAAGAGTCCGATATGAGGGTGTTTCCCTTTCTCCGAAGGTCGACTTATATGAGCTTAAATTCATACAACAAATGAGCCTCGATATGAGTCATATTGGACTCTTATTGGCCTAATATACGGCTCATTTTGGACTCTTTTAAAACAATTATTGGCCTCATATATGAATCATTTCAGACTCTTTTCGAGCCTCTAATCAGCCTCATAAATTACTAAATTCGGACTCTTATTTTAGGTTGTTCTTTGAGTCTTATTGAACGCACTATATTTGCAAAGGCATTCAGCAAAAATTCCTTTCAAATAACATGCATACATACTTACGTGCATATACACATTCCAACATGCATGCAATAGCAGCAGCTGCAGCTAAATTTTGTTCATTTAGGCTGCGTTTCTTTATACATTCCGGATAAACCCATTTCACAACCAGAATAAACAGAATGCCATTGAAATATACGTTTACATATCATCAGGAACATTCTAAAGAATAAGTAAACAAAAAAGTTTATTCCAAACGTTCAGAATGAATAAAGAAATGCAGCCTTATTGTTTTCTAATTATTTTCAATTTCTGTATAAACAAGTTTGGATATAAATTTTAAATCTTTATTGTTTTTATATTGGCACAAGGTGCTGGCTCATAACTTGGATCCAAAATGTATTCAACAAAGTGTGATTGATTTTGAAGTTGATCTCATAAGAAACAGGCTATAATGTCAAATTGAAATGAATTGTTAACCCATTTGAAAATATCTTTTTTTTCAAATTTGAATTTGTTTAAAAAAAATGTGCACAAAAACTTTCAAGCAACAAATTTTTTTAACAAACGTGAAATTGTTAAGAGATAAACCGCCGAGGAGAGCAAGTAAGCACATTTAAAGTTTGGTAATAAGTAAATACGTTCGACTTTGCTTAAATATTTAATGTGAGGAAACCAAGATGAAACGGAGCAAAACTTTTGAAAGGTGCGCTGTATGCAATAGAAGTCAGGACACGAAAATAGTGCGATGTTTTAAACCACCTAGTTGCGAGTTAAGACGGCAGCGATGTGGTGTTATACTACGTGATTCATCTCGCGTTTGTGAAAACCACTTCAAGGAAAGTGATTTCAGCTCGTTTATACCCAAACTATTTCGCACGAAAAAAATTTAATTTCAAAATTGTTAGAGTTAAGCAGTCATATAAAATTGGAAAAAATGTAAAATCATACTTTTATAAGTGTCGAATAAAAAATTTAAATATGAAAATAAACGCACAAAAGCATAAAACTTAGGCAATTAAAAACAATAAAATTGCTAAAACGATTTTATAAACAATTTGTTTTATTTTTTTGACAAAACATATATATTCCCGGCAATGTAAGTAATCAAAATAAAAGCCTCGGGTATCAGTGCTGACAAGATACATGCATTACTAAGGGTTAATTCGTTTGTTTATACTTTTTGACATTATAGTACCTTAAAAGAGAGCCGCACTGAGTTGTCAATCACACCTTGTTTAATACACCTTGCTTGGATCATATACATGATTCAATTATTAAAGGTTTTGTAAGTAGCTTTTCTAAAATTTGGCACTCCCACCCACAGTGATGGTTTATGGAAGCAGGAGAAAAAGGGGAAGAATTCAATCACACTTCCTAAAATGGGGGCTAAATTCCAAAAAATGGTGTGGATAATAGTGAATGGTGGTATTTTGAAACAAAAACGAATTTGATTTAATTATTCAATTTAAAAAAGCTTATTTACATCGAATATAACCCCCGATTGTTATTAAAAATAAATATTTCTATGTATATACCAAACTTGCGTACGTCAGATGGCGCATACCTCGAGAATGGATGGTCAACTTTCAGGTTTTTTTGTTGTATTTGTTTGCCAGATGATGGATATGAAGAAGCTCTTTGTTTGTGGAAAATATGGAATATTTATTTAAAAAAATTTGGAGCTTACGTTTCTTTCGCGGTTATGGCTCGATTGTTTCGAATATGGTAATTAGAATTCTTTGACGTCGCACTTTTAATGTTCTGGGGAGAATATTCAACACTGGCTTACACAGCCGCAATTGGCGATTCGTGCCGGACGAACTCAGGAAGAATAAAAACAACACGCAGCTACTGAACGACTGAGATAGGGAACGTGATCTACACCGTCAAATGAGTAGTGGCGTAATGGGGCTTTCGCACGCGGCGATTTTTCAGGCAACTTTTGCGTTCAACTCACGCCGGGTTGCACGAAAAAAAATTTTAATGACTTAAAAATATCAAAATATTCGCCATAAAAAGGCGTTTGCATTGTTCAACTTTGCATTCTACTTTTGGTTGAATGGCCTTTCAACTAATCGCTTTCAACAAAGTTGGGCGCCAGCCAACATTCGTCTCGTGCGTACACCTTTTAAGTGTGCAATTACATCGCGACATTGACTAAACCGAGCTGTCGTGTGACGATTGGGTTTATGGATGCGGTTTGGCAATGTTATATTGCGTCAAAGTCTCATTCGGAGACACCAGGATTGTGTTGTGGAGGACAATACCTAAATACCTTCGTTGGCTCATTTACCAAAACCATTGCACGCTTTACTTTAAGCACTTGGCAGAATCAAGAGATCTCCACGACTATTGACAAATACATTTCGGCATTTAAGGGAATTTCGTCTCTTTAGCCTACATTGAATTTCTGTAGTCCAACGATTCTCACCCATTTTGTCTTGTTGGTGCCAGCGAATGAAAAACAAACATTTCTTCAAATTTAAAAAGTAAAAATTTTACTACTAACAATTTAAAAATGTTCTTAAAACTTGCAAAGAAATTTGGAAAAGAAATATCACTGTTTTTGTTTTTAGCAGTAGGGTGGGAGTGTCATTGATAAAATTAGAGCGAGAGAAAGTTTTTCTTACAAAACCTTTCATTATTGAATCATGGATCATATATGAGTCCTAAAAGATTCATATAAGAGTAAAAAAATTTTTGTTTTTGAACCTCATATTTCTTACCTACCTAGGACTCCCTTTGGAATCATATATTCTGAACGCTCAGAATATGTTTGCGGGGATATACTCCCGTAGTAAAAAATAATACATACATACTTGGTTCTAGTGAGATACTGGTAATCGATAGAGCTATGAACTTTTTACAGAACATAGAAGAATTGGCGGAAATTTTTGCATGCTTAACTAAATTTTTGTAATTTTTGGATTACGACAGTATTGAAGTAAATGACCGATATGTACATATATACTTACATATATACATATATTCGGTTCTTCGCCACAGCGTTTCTTTCCTGACACGCCCAGCAAACATTTGGAGTAATAAATTGGTCTTTAAAGAGTCCTATTCGGAGCCTTTTTGTTCATAATGAGCTTATTTAAGAGTCCGAAATTAAGAGACATATATGAGCTAAAATTCACACATTAAATGAGCCTTAATATGAGTCATATTGGGCTCATATACGGCTCATTTTTGATATTTTTTATGAAAATTTTTGGCCTCATATGAATCATTTCAAGCTCTTTTTTAAATTACTCTTATTGGCCTCGTAAATCGCTTTTCGGGACTCTTTATTTTAGGTTATTCTTTGAGCCTAATTGGTCTTATTCTTTGGCTGCATTTCTTTATTCATTCTGAACGTTTGGAATAAACTTTTTTGTTCACTTATTGTTTAGAACGTTCCTAGTGATATGTTAACGTTATTTCAAACGCGTTCTGTTTATTCCGGCTGTGAAATGGAATTATCCGGAACGTATAAAGAAACGCAGCCTTTGACTCTTAAAGCTTAAACAGACGGCAGCGTTGATTCGGCTTAACTCGGACTTAATCCGGATCAACTGCAGTTAATTCCCGAGTTGATCCGGATCAACGCTGCCGTCTGTTTATGCTTTTAGAGCCAGTTATTCAGTGGCAGTTCAAACTTAGATCACGTAAACTGCGTTTAAATTGAACAGCTGGCTGACATTTGATTGGCTTATCTTAGTTTAAATCAGCCAGATCGGGCGTTTAAACTGAGTTTAAACCACGGCCGTGCACTGAAAAACTGGCCCGTATTGACTTCAAATACCATACATACGTACATACATATGTACATATTAGGGATGTCAATCCTGGGATCCCTGGATTCCGGTGTTTTTGAGCTCCCGAAAATTAATGCAAGCAAATCCCGGGATCCCGAAAAACTTAGAAAAATAAAA